TGCCTTGTTATTACCATGTTGCCTTTACATATACATATATAGACTTAAGTACCAATCTTTGTAAGAATCAGAAAAATAACACAGGGGCACTGGAACATGACTTCCTTAGAATTTTTAACCTATTGTATAGAACTATGACAAAAACAATATATTTTGTTTGAAATATGAAAACGTCAGTTTTTATGAAAACTGGAGCGTGAGAAGCAATAACATGACAAAGTTTAAGCTTTATTGATTTTTTCAAGTATTTCACGTAAAAATATCCTCTTCACAACTAAGGTAGTAACTCGGTAGTAAAACCACCGTCCATGGTTACCACACCACATCTCCTATACTTTACTGTATAACTTGAAAGATAAGTGGAATTGAAAGAGAAAAACATTAAATTTTCCGGGGGACCATATAAGCGTTTCACCGTTAAATAAAACAACTTTGTTTTTTCCCTTGGACGTGCTTTATTCTTAATTTCGTTCCATGTCAGTTTCCGTCAGAAAGAAATGAACGTCAGACTATAAAAGAGAGTTAAATGGATCGGCGTTTTCAGTCAATGTCGTATTATCCTATGACACCCGTAGCAATAAACTAAGTACGCATATTACAGATATTACATGTACAATGAAAATGCATTACTATTATTTGCCAATACAAAGCACGTAATTTCTAAAATAAAACTATGTTTTAGGGCACCTGGACTTCAAATGCTTAAAACTGAAGGCGCTGTATCTAAACGCCAATTACATCAGGGAGTTGACTCCAAATATTCTCAAGTTGGAAGAATTGATCATTTTCGACGGGTCCTACAATGAATTACAGGTTTTACCCAATGATATTGATCAGCTACAGGTACGTGCTTTCACACAGTTTATTTGCCATTTTTGTAAGCGACCTTGAATTACCCTGAGTGTCAGAGCAACGTAAAAGCTAGCTTGTTAAATATATACCTTGTGATGGAGTCGCTTGTACTAGGTCGTACTACGGTATTGTTGATATGGGTTATATATGAAATCAAGATCGAGCTGGCAATACCGGAATCTAGAACCTAGGGTACCTTGAATAGACCTGCAAGTAAAACGAAAAGTTTGATGGATTTTTTTAACTTTGAGGTATTCATTGCTTGCATTAATGGATATAGACATGACATTATTGAATCACCAGTGCTGAATAATAATAATAATAATAATAATAATAATAATAATAATAAAAGACCCAAGCACCATCAAAGAAATTTTAGGCCTTTGTACATCTACCTTTACTTTCAGAGTCTGAAGTACATCAGATTGAAACAGAACCAATTAAGGCGTCTCCCAGAGTCTCTCGGAAATGTGAAGTCCCTTGAGGTTATTTGTGTGTCAGAAAATCGCCTGCAGGATATTCCTGCGGAAAAGCTGGCAAAACTACCGAAATTGAGATTATGTTGCCTGCATTCAAACCGGCTGGGCCAGAAAGTTGTTCGAACATTGAAGGAGGCCAAGTTTGAGGTTCGATTTGGCGATAATCGATCGGTTGATCCCAAGATCTTTTCCAAAATAGAATGGGGTAAAGTAGAAGGTAAGTGGAATTATCAGATGGCAGACCATAAAAGAAGGAAAAAGATATATATGAATTCACAATTTTTAGATTCTTAATGTCTGTGAAAATGCACGATGATTTTTGTATACTGCCGTATATTCTACAAATGTAGCTTGGAAAAAGAAGCTGAAAATAAGGGACAGGTGCCAACGATCACGGAAAAACCACAAATTATAAAGAAAATAAGGTAAAAAATTCAGTCTGTTGGTGAGTGTAATGGCGAGTTAATTGTTCGTATTTTACGTATTGATGTAGAGTGCATTTATTCTAAATGATTGTCTTTTCGTTTCAGCTGGTTGTCATATGACAGATGTCTTAACCAGAGAAACGCCAGTTTTTGACGTTTTTATGCTTTACTCTGGATCTGAGGAAGATGAAAAGGTGATAACTGACGAGTTTTTGCCAAAACTAGAGAAAAAGGCTGAGCTTAAGGTGAGAAATATTCCTGACAGACGCAAAAGAAACGTTTTTCGTCCACTGCCCACCCCTATATTTTTTATCCTTTAGGCCATAACATTTAATACAGGCAACCTTTTGTTACATTGTTAAAATAATTAAGATAGTGGGGTTATATAATAAAAGCGGCCTTGTTTGGCCAAATCTCAAACAACCGTTGCCTTCTTTCTTGTTGTGAATGGGGCTGTGAAAGTTTGTGGTACACTGGGATGGAGGGGCCATAAATAAATACATTGGGATATGTTGTAAAGTCTTATACTCAACTGTACAAAATTGGTCAGTTTCTTGTCAAATATAAAATAGGCTCTACAAAATGTAGGATTACTAATTTTTGACGAAATTTGTCATTTTTCATTTTATTTGTCATATAAATCTATTCTCTTTCTTATAATCTTGAATAGGTGTGTTTCGCCTCTAGAGACTACATCCCAGGGCATTTTGAGCTAAAAGAAGCTCTAACCAATATGAGAAAGTCTCGGAAAATCATTGCTCTTCTCACTGAGCATTTTGATGAGCAGGTCAAGGCAGTGGAAATCAACCATGCGGTAGATGCAGATTTGGCCAGGCAGTCATGTTCTGTCATACCTGTTGTGTGGGGTAATCCTGACCATGTAAAAATGCCTGTTCAGTTTAAGAGAATCGTCCCATTGCGGAGGCCAGTTGACTGGGATAGGTTGATAACAGCGATAAAAGAATGAAGTTTGGTATAAATAACCAAGCCAATTAAAGCCAGTTTTAAACTTTTGTATCAAATATGTCTCCCAAAATTAATTCCATTTGCTTGATTAAAGCCTTTATTCTCCGTTTTACCATGAGTGTAATTTAATAACTGTAGCTAAAGGGCATTAAAAAAAGAAGGCCAAAAATAAGTGTACAGGTTAAAAATGGTAAAGTGTATACATATCTAGGGGTAATGTTTAGTCAGACTGGTGGTTGTGTGGAAGCGGTCAGACAACAAATTCCCACAAAACAATCTCAACTTTTAAAGTTTGCGTCTTTTATTTCGAAAAACGCGGACTTCCCATTCCCTATAAAGAAAAAGGTCATGGAAGCAGCATTAATATCTTCGGTGCTGTATGGCTGTGAATCCTGGCTATGTTCAAGTTATAAAACAGGTCAGTCGTCCTATTACGCAATTATCAAAACTTTATTAAGTGTCAGGCAGAGCACTCCTAATGACTTAACACTAGCCGAATTAGGAATACCCGAACTAAGCGCCAGGGTACGCGCTGCACAAAGATCCTATATGACCTATATGATTCTTCAGACACGATCTGGCATGGTGGACGATCCTTTTATGCATGTGTGGCGGCTTTGTAACGACAACGGCACCAGGGGAGCCCGATTTCTGACCAAAGTGGTTAACTCCAATAACATTATAGAGACAAATAGAGCCAAAATAAAGAATCGAATTAGAAATTCAATCAGAATTAATCTGTTACATACTTTAAAATGAATCCTAACTTGTCTATACACGATATACAGTCTCAGGGAACGGGGCAGGATAGCCTGTTCTCGATTACGTCTAAGTGCTCATAGTTTAGCTATTGAAACGGGGAGTTGGTCACGACGCCCCAGAAATATGAGACTGTACATGTGGAACTGATGTTCAGACGGAAGAGCATGTAATTTGTTTCTGTCAAAAAACGAAACAGTTAAGAGAAGACTACAATAGACTAGACTTTTCAGACATAACGTCTTTCTTTAACAATACGGGTGACATTAATACAATGGCTAATTATGCCCATAGATGTTTTATGTTGTCAGAGACGGAAAGGTCGGAGGATTAACTGTATATGTAATGTACTTTTTGTTTTGTTTTGTTAAATATTGTATTCTGCTCGGAGATGGTAAAATAAAAATCTATCTATCTATCTACATAGGTTGGCAGCAGGACAGAAGACGACACCTTCGTGCCGACTCTTTTGTACTCTTGTAGATTGTATTATAAAACAATACGTATTATCTTTTTGAATGAAAACTATCGATTCTTCATTTTATCTTGTGTCATACATATCAATGACAAAAAAAAAAAAAAAAAAAAAAAAAAAAAAAAAAAAAAAAAAAAAAAATCAACCCACAAAGATCACAATTACCTATTTGTATGTTTTCCTTTTATGTCACAGAAATGTGTTATAACAAATTGCTAATTCTAAATGCGACAACATTATAACCAATATTACAATCTAGTGCATCCTTTGAAATGTTAACAGTACCAAGGCTTTGATTTGGCAGATGTAAAAATGACATTTGCCTTGTTAAAATTATACTTTACTGTAAGTGATCAAGTAGGAGTCGATTTTTATCTTAAAGGTATCTATTTACTCTTTATTTGTGTAAGTCTTTCAAAACGATAATTTTTTGCATTGTTGTTGCACATCTAAAGTTTCATATAAAAGATGTAAAACACATGGCACACATAGGAAATAACACAAAGCAGATAATCTAAATGTATGAACACAGTTTTCTAACAGATTCACTACAATTTTTCCAGATCATAGGAAATAACACAAAGCAGATAATCTAAATGTAAGAACACAGTTTTCTAACAGATTCACTACAATCTTTTCCGGATCAATTTATGCAACCTAATCAGATAAGATTATGCTATTGTGGTTCCTATTTAGGGAATATTGCATCATGTTAGTCAAAACAGCTGCTGTAATTCTAATTCAATTCACAAAAAGCTTAATATAAA